CAGGAGACATTCAATTCTCCCCAAAGAAGTTCAGTCACAAATTTAATTAATGCATTATTTTTTTAAGGAGCATCATCAAGATGGATGCATATCCTCTGGAACGATGGCAGAAGCATGAAGAGGCATATGAATCTTTAGCGCACCCGGCACGTAAATATCTTGTAACGCCAGCTACAACAGTGCCATGCGAACCCCTGTTCTCACTTTCAGGTGATATTGTAATTAAGAAGTGGGCAGCATTATCTCCCATAAATGTAAACAAACTTGTTTCTCTTAGTAATTGGCTGAACAAGAAGAAGGACTGAGTGAACTTGTCGGCTCTAAAGTTTTACATTGTTTTATTTTTGAATGTAGGATTTTTGTACATAGTTCTGCATTTGTAAGTTCAACTTTCATGATAAAGAGATTGCACTACAGTACTTGTATTAGGTGAATTGAAAAATACTATTTATTTTGTTTATCATTTTTACAGTGCAAATATTTGTAACCAAAAATAATATAAAATGAGCACTGTACACTTTGTAGTCTGTGTTGTAATTGAAATTGATATATATGAAAATGTAGAAAAACATCCAAAATATTTAATACATTTCAATTGGTATTCTATTGTTTAACAGTGCGATTAATCGCAATTAATTTTTTTAATCGCGATTAATTTTTTTTAGTTAATCGCGTAAGTTAACTGCTATTAATCAACAGCCCTATTATGAATCTTGACAAGTTACAAGCTTGCTGTAGATACTTTACACGATACTTACTTTTTATGGATAAATATCCTGCAAGACATGTTTGGTGTAGTGAGTTTTTCAGGTCTGAAATTAGAGTTCCTTGCAAAGAACAGGGCACCCTTTGCCAAGGAGCTTCTGTGTCACAGGAACATCTAAAACCACATTTTAAAAAAAATCTTTCAGTTGATTTTTAACTATTGAAACATTTCCATTCATATTAGGCTTTTGTAAGAACTTTTTATTCCTCAAAACCTAATTTGAAGTCTAAAATTCCTGAAAATGTTTAGTTCAAATTTGATCTTGTCTACACTAGCCTTTTGTTGTAATTACTTAAAACTTTCCACCATTGCTACCACAAATGGCAGCTCCATTGGCAACAACAGCAGTGGGAGCTCTAGTATATGCAAGCCACGAATGGCTACCTGTGTTTTAACCACCATAGCATCCAGACCACTGATCAGGGTTATAAGACACAGCGATTGAAATGCAGGCAGCCAGTCTACACTCATGTTGCCACCATTGTTACCACCAGTGGAGCTGCACAGGTGCTATCGTAGTAGTGGGAAACGTTAAGAAAAAAAGGCCTAATGTAGGCACAGCCATTCAGTTTTTTTGTGTTGTCTTCTTTGTGACATTTTGGATAAAATGGTGAATGCCTGCCCAACGTGCAGTCTTTGATATTCACACAGCAGCACATAATGGGAAGCCTATTACCTACAAAGGTATTAGAAAAGTGCTCCCAGCTGAAAGAGCTTATCCAATTGTTGTTTGAACAACTAAAACATTAAGGGCATCATTGTTTTATTTGCTACTGTTTAAAACAATTTAATGACTGAGTCAACATTTGTTTCATGAGAAGCTGAGTTGTTTGGGGCTAGGTGGGGGGAGAAATATTTATATCCAGACAACCTGCATTCCTGAAAGCGCATGTTTTTAATTTTAATAACATCAGCCTATAGAACTGAATATCTAAAATATAAAGATAGCTGTGTGCATTTTACTGTTTGGGAATGTCACTCCATCTTTGTGAATTTTCAGGGTAATAAAGAGAAATTGTGGAGCTTTGAGTAGAAAGTTGCTGTGGTTGACAGCATTACTGAGCATAGCATTATAGTAAAAAAAAATCTTTAAACATCATTTAGACATACCCTTGAATTTAGAAAAAATCATTTTCTGCCTTTTAGGTATAAGTTATGCCTATTGTACACTGTACTCTTATAGACCCACATTTTTAAACGTGCATATACAAAAATGCCTCATTCACATGTGCCTATATTTTCACACATATGCAACTCAGTTTTGGTTATGCACATTGGCACAACACAGGCATGTCCACTTTCCAAAAGTCATGGTCCATATCTTTTTGCATTATAAATAAAAACCTAATTTTGTAACACTGAAGTGAATGAGTGCTGTGTCTTGGACTTCCAATACAGCAGACATGCTTAACTTTATGCACTGTGAGTAGTTCTACTGAAGTCAAAAGTTTTTTTCAGGTCAGGGTCTAAATCCTAAAACCCTAATTCAGGTGAGTAATCACTGCTCACATAAGCAATCCCATTGACTTCTTTAATGAGACTACTTGCAGGAAGAAAAACTACACCTGTGAGTAACAGTTTGCAGGATTGGACTCAAAAACTAAAATATACATTTGTGTAGGTGTGATTATATGTGATTAGGATCAGCCATTATATACTGTAGCTAACACAGTGAGTCAGTTTGGAAGTGTTCTTAAGAAATGTAGGGCTATGTGATAATTTGCGTATTCTATGCAAATAAACACACTTGGAAATAATGTTCCATCTTTCATGTAATAATATGTGGGAATAGTCCTTTGATAAAGAAACATACTTTTAAAGATTACACCTCACTCCATAAACTAATACTGCTTTTTTGCTTTTCTAAACTGCCAGTTACAAAACTCAATGGTCAGAGATAGTACTAAAGGTGTGGGTGTGAGTGTGTGCCTGTGTGTGTTATATACATGGTGTGTTGAGAAAAGTATTGGATTCTAGGGGAAATAATAATTTCCCAGGTCTGCAGTATTAAACCAGGTGACAAACTATATGCCCCACCCTGCATTCCTTGCTCTCCTGTTCACTTAAATTGGTGGCCTGAGTGTTCAAGGAATGCAGGATTCTGCATTATGACAGTAAACAGGAACCAGAATAAGGCATGGAAAGCAGGATTAATCAAAATCTCCCTAGTGAAATAGAAGCTAACATGCTATGCTAGTAATGAATGAAACAGCTTTATGAAATATTAAGGTTGTTTTATAGTAGGACAAGATTCTGAGTATGTAAATTCTTTGAAGACACTATGTACTTAATACTTTTATTGCATTGGGTGGTTTAACAATCTCAAACATTAGTGATTCTGGTGCAAAAAAGAGAGGAGACAATTCAATATGTCCATTTTAGTTTAGATTATAGAATTATTCCAGAATTATAATTCCATATAGATGTGTAAACTTTTAAAAGATGCTTCATATGAGACAAATGACACTGTAACTAATCCCAGAATGTGTACCCACAGTAATCATATGTGCACTATATACCGATAGGAAACAACCCTGCTCCCATGGTTGTCAATGAGAGTTTTGTCACTGAATTCAGTGGGAGCCAAATCAGGGCCATATAAATCAAGAAAGTGTGTGTGTGTGATATTCATACTTTCTTATATAAATAACTTATATAAATGTACCTGCAAAATAGCTGAATCATAAAATTGTTGAATTACTGTGTTTTTCTGCTAAAGAGAGAATCCATAAAAAAAGATTTATGGTCATAGTTCCCTTTTGTGTTGTATTATTTGCCTTTATCATAAAAGTTCTCTCAGTTCACAGCAAAGTAAATATAACAGCTTTGTTAATAGTGCACAGCCTGCCTTTTCTCTGTTAAATGCAAGGCTTAGGACATAATTTGAGTTAACTACTGTTTTTGTTGATATTAGCTAGTTGATTGTTGCCCCTGACTGCAGACATCGACCTTACTCCAGGCCTGATTTATGCAGAGGGATTGCTAGGCAGGAACTAAAGTGGGCCAGGACTAGCCTACAAGTCTATAGGAATCCATTCAAGCAGCTTTAAGTTTTATTCTCCCTGCAGCAGATTTAAAGCAGCTTTGTACAACAGTCAAACAAGAATAAGCGCTGTGGAAAATATAACAAATCATAGTAGCAGTTTAACAGAGAGACAGAGAGATTCATTCCAGTAAAGCAAAGACTAACTAACCACTTACAAATACCTGCAAGGGCACAACTTGCGAGTGTGTGAACTGAAACAAAAATGCTGTAGGAGCAGAGAGTGTGGCTTGGAAAAATCACAAGTCTAGCTAGCAAGCCGGTAACTGCGGTGAATGGCTTTAAGGCTGCATTTGGGAAGGGTTTTTTTTTCCTCCCCCCTCCAGATCACTTGTTTAGTAGCACAACAGGCTGGTTCATCCCACACTTTACAGGGTGAAAAAGAGAGGGCGGGGGGAGTTTGCCCCAGTGAGGCAAGAAGGTAGCCACAAGCCATCCAGTAATTACAAAGCAAACAAGGGTGAAATATTGGATTGGTCTCACTCCTGACAAGATCTACGCTTTTTGCCGCCAATTTGTTTGTGGAGCTATATTTAAAGGCGCTTGATTGAGGAAATGTTGAAAATAGCAGTTAGGGTTTCCCTAATGAGACCTCTAGAGGAAAGCGGTGGCATTCAGGGGGCTCCGGGAGAATGAAGGAGGCGGAGGGGCAGCAGTTAACCCTTTCCGGACCTATAGGAGCTTATCACACGCTTGCAAGACCAAAAGGAGGGGGAAAGTGGGGGGGATTCACCCTGTGACGGTTACATTTGCAAAGGAGGATTTCCTTCTATGGCAGTCACCAGAGCAATACAGATGCTGATTACTGCCGTGGAGGAAGCAAAGTCCTTTGCTGCAAGGATATGCATGTACAGTATAACACCCCCCACCCCCTCTAGATCTTTAAAGGGACTGCATTCAAATCTGAAGCGAACGTGCGCAGGAAAGAAGCCTCTCCCTCTCAGATCTGACCGCGAATTGGGGGGATTTGACACCGTCGCTCAGCTATGCAGCTTGATTGAGATGCTGGGAGACAAAGGCCGGGTTCTGCGGAAGATAAATGGAGGGGGAACATCAGCGCCTCAGATCAAACGCGCAGCGTCTGAGAGCCCAGGGAACGCAGAGTCACCCAGAGATAGTATTTAAAACAACTATCTCGCCCACTTCAGGCCACGAGGGCTGATCGAGGGGTTAAAAGAATCTGTAAATCATCCCCATGAGCCCCATCCCCTATTCAAATAGCATTAAGCGCCTAGGTAGAACTACCTGAGCTAGCAGGGCCTGACTTGGTCCTTAGCGTGTGTGCGGAGGGCTTGTGTCCTCTGGCGAGTCATACTAGGGGTTCAGTAACAATGAGGTATTCTGCACATTGGGAATCACCCCTCCCAGAGATGGCGTTTTGATGCATTCCCTTGCCCATGTAATTCGAGTGACTTGAGCTGTTTTTATTCAAACTATAATTCCTTTAATTTCTCGTTCAAAACTCAGCCTTCCACTCAAATATCACTCCAGAAGCACAACGGTAACCCAATGGCATGCTACTATAACAGTGCTTATTCACAACCTCCAATGTCTAAATTCTGCTCTGCTCCCTGAGTGCCCACTGAGTTACCAAGGGGCAAGTTAGTTATTGCGTATGCATGCCTAGCAGACTACTCCATGTTGGGTGGGATTAAGTCTGTATGATACTTTCTGATGGGAGGCACTGGCCCTTGAAATGCAATATTTGACAGTATATTTGAGGAGGAGGATCACCAGCCACTTTCCATACTTCGGGAATTTAAATATACATGTGTATGTACCCAGAAAGACAGAAAATCAGATTATAGTGTACAGGATTTCTCAATACATTGCCATTTGATTTACTCTGTAGGATAATAACACTGCTAAGCATGAATATTTTAGCTGAACTTTTTACATGTGGATGAAAATGTGTTCTAGAAATGCCTAAAAAGATTGTGAATGTAATGAACACATAAGATTTATAATACCTGAGGCCTTGTGAGTTTCCTTTCAGTGTATTAGTTGCTCAATTTTTCTTCCTGTGTAAAGTCTCCTAAAGGGTGCAAAAGCTCTACTTACATGCTCAATAATCGCCTTCTGAATCCTATGGCTATTAAATACAAATAAGATGTTTGGGAAAAACTTATGTTGATAATATTGTGTCAATTGCTAATGTTTGAATAACAGTGTGGAATTCAGTCCAGTTTCAGAATTCTTGTCTACTGTAAATGCAAACACTTGACTGATGCTACTTTCACTGTTTTTTAAAATAATCTGTTAATCAACTTTAATTCAGTAATATTTAAATAGTTTTCTAAATATACTTCAGACAGTTTATAAGACATATGTGTCTTTCTATAGCTATACTTATGTGTATTTCTATATTTATATAAATATGTGAAGTAACGTTGTTTATTATATACATATAATACATACAGAGTATTTGTGACGGAAAACATTCACCTGGACGCAGATCAAAAGAATATTCTTAAAGTATCTAGTAAAATGGTTCTTTACCTCCTGCTGGTAAAAAAAGAAAAACTATGTTAAGATCTTTAGTTATATAAAATATTGATTTTTATTATCACGTTAACACAATGCTATATCCATGAAGTCGTTTCTTTTTTTTTTTTCTATAGATTTTTACAAGTAAATTACATTTTGGTCTTTATTTCTCAGTTTGTTCAGTTTCGCTTTAATAAAATAAGAGTAAAAAATAAAAAGGTTTTGCTGGTCAAAGTGAGTCAAAGAAACATTTTTCGAATCACATATCGGTTGTATAATCTATAACAATAAATTACACTACTGGTGCGCATTTCCAGTAAGTCTCCTGCCTTCTGTGTTTATGTTATGACATTTCTGTTAGTAATTATTTTTATTTTAATTTTGTGTCATTTCTAACATAAGCCAGAAACTTTTTCTCTTCAAGTTTTGTACACAATGCTCTCTTTTTGATAAGATGTTCTTTCCTATCCTCTTTTAGATTTTCTTCTCAAATGTTTATAGTGCTCTATCAAAAGTTTTCCAATATTTCTCCCTTGTCCCTGTCTTACTTTATTTGTTTGTGTGAAATTTAGTTTGAAAGGAGATCAGAGAGAGCAGGAGGGGTTTGTAATAAGAGAATGACCAAGTGACCTAAAGGCTGATTATGTGTCATTAACTGGAGACTTGGTGTATCCAAATTACCAAAAAGGACGTCACTCAACTAGATCAATTACATGTAGATACATATATAGGAATTGTGGTGGTTGCAGCTAAACACACTGATGCTTCTGAACAAGTGTGTTACACAACATTTGCTGTAGGCAGCTGCTTTCAACCACAAGTCTTTGTATTTGAATAATTAGTGGGCAAGTCATAGCACAATATGTTACAGCAGGTAGATGAACCGAGTGGCACAGAAAGTACGACGTTAACACTGTGGCAGTTTGGGCAAAATTACAGTTAATTGTCGAAGCTGAAGTGGGATATTTTTAGGTCAAATAGGGTTGCTTTTTATCTCTGAACATTGCTTAAAACCAAACCTAAGTTGAGGGTCTCCATTAATATTGACAATAAAAGTGCTTAATTTTTTTTAGCATACAACCAAAGTAATGCCAGGCTAATCTTTGTTTCCCGCAAGCACGTAAACCTAATGTTATCAGGAAAATATTTATTGATCAAAACAATTCCTTTCGCCCAAGCAATCCCATCAGCACTGATTTTAAAAGCAGCTTCAAAACACAGTTCCCCCAGGAATGCAAACATTAAACGAGGGGAAACTATGTGAACACCACAAACTCAATAAGAAATATTGTCTGTTCAATAGAGTATTTTATGAAGGCTTTATTATTCTTCTGGGGATCACTGGGTTTCTTAAATTCTTTTAAGTGGCATCAATACAACTCTGTGTCCTTCGTCCCAAATAGAAGCAATCTTTGAATAATTACTCACACATGCAGGGGTAAAATTGGTGTGTTTGTGGGTTTATTGCACATCATTTAAACTTACAAAGTGAACGCTATCTTGTTGTTGGGGTTTATATACGCGTATGTATAAAATACATACTTAATGGCACAGATTATCATGCCTTAAATATTTGCACCCTTCAGTACTGATAATAGTAACGAACACCAGGGTTCCTATACGTCCATCCGCAGCAATTAAAGCAGACTTGCAGGGCCAAATTCTGCCCTTTGCTAGACCCGTTGAAATCAATGATGTGGCTGCATGAGTGTAACTGAGTGCAACTAACGTGGCAAGAGTTATTTTCATTAACGCGAATTGACAGGTTTGACTTCAAATGATATTTCTCCAGCGTCCCTTCAAAACTCCATATTATTGCAGGGTTTCTATGTTGAGTTTAGTTTATGGACTTCTAACTGGAGGTTTAGTAGTATGTAGATTGCCATCCATAGGGCACTTGGTACTTAGACACTTCAAAATATATTTGAGAATTATCTCTCTTTCTAATATATTTGGTCTCAGGTCAATGACATTATGCACTCTATAAATTTGAACACATCTAAACTTTTCAAACGATTCACGGGGAGACAGTGCTTGCTGTGAGGTAGTTAGGGCACAAACAGGGATAAGGGGAACCCTGGCTCCTCCCATGAGGTGAAGGGGTCAAACCAGAGTTGGCTTGTAAAGGCCTCCGTTTTTAACCACCCACAAAAAAGCTCCATCTTTCTGCTCCTCTGCTCCCAGCCAGGTACTGTAGTTAGAAGAAGCTGGGGGTACCTGATCTAAACATTTCCAGCCACGGGCCAGATTTTAATTCCGCATTCAAAAAGCCAAGATTCTGTGTTCCATAATATTTTGGAGGGATAAGGTAAAGGACAACTTAAACACTAAAATTGTGTATTTTGTTTAGATTACTTAGAACCTAATTAGGAACAACAATCTTCTAAGCAAGATCATTCTAAAATCAGAATAGAAAAATTCATTAGCTTATTCATGAAAGATGCTAGAGATACCTCTTGGGCCCGATCCTGCAAATCCTTACTTACATGAGCTGTTGTTACTCAAGACAATTGTCCCATTGAGTAAGGGTAACTACTTCCTTGAGTAAGAATTACCCGTGCTAGGAAGGCTTTTCAGAATAAGGTTATCCAGCCAATGTACACCATGGATTATTATTTTTTAAGTTATTAAACTAATGTTGAGAATTGGACAATGCTGGATGAATTTGGTTCTTTAGGGAAGACATTTGTATGCGAAATTCTTTAATTTACCAGGTAGTATTCTATATTTCAGTTTTCAAAACTATAGATTCCATTGATTCTTTGCTTTATATTTTAATCTACTCCCCCCCTCCAGGAGCTTTTGTGTGTTTGATGGTTTGTTAAATTCACCTCTCTATTTTAAAAATAATGTAAAATAGGGTTTAGAAAAGGACAACACTTATTAGGAGGTCAGTCTCCTAAAACATAAAACATGCGGTTCTATTCCTCTGGCCTGTTTAATTTCATTAAACCCTTATGGCCTGTTTACTTTTATTTATCTTGGATAAACAGAAGAAAATAAATATATGAAAAGATCAGTATTTTTCACAAAACCATGAGCTATCTACTCTTTTTTAAATATTTAGTTTAATTCTGACTGCTTTCAAAAATAGCACACACGACCAAGCTGAAAAATGTTTTTCCAACCGCTATCATGCACTTTGAATCTTTTCGCGGGGTGGGGGGGGAAGACAAGTAAGATGCAAAATAAATGTTTGAGCTGCTCTCTGGCTGTTTGGGAGAAGAAAGGGGGAGCGTATAGCGTGTCTGCACATATGATGAACTACAATGACAACCACTGGGACCGAAAAACAATTGTGAAGCTTTGCTTCTTTGGGCTGTGTCTTGTAAAGCAGATAGCCATACACTTCATATTGCACTCAGGGAAGGTGAAGACGCTGCTGCCGAATTGCGCCCTCCGTAGGATTCCTCTGCTGGCACAGATCATCCGCTGAGCTTTACATGACAAAATGCCATGTACTCAGTTCCAGTATATTATTAAGAGACTTTTCTCGTCTCTTGCTCTTCTTGCTCATCCAGTTCGAAGAGACTTAACCGGTGGATGCAGAAGCCTAACTTATTGCATTATTCCTGAAATACAATAAGAGACGAAAAGCATGTGAAAAGTCAAAGCCATGCTCAGCTTTGTATGCACCAAGATATTTTACTTACAGTGAGCTCGTACATATCCGTCTGTTTATAATTTAGATAAAGATGCCCGCCTTACTTGCGACTATTTTAGCAGTTAAATCAGTGACACAGCAGGAAAGACGAATTTTAAAAACAAAGTCTTACTTTTTAAAAAAACAAAGTAGTGTATCACTTATACTTATGATAGGAAACGTACTGAGCTAAGAAATCTTTTTTTTTAATCAATTTTAGCTGCAGAGATTTCATATGCGCTGGTCAGAAAGAAAAAGAATATTGCAAATCAAACTATTATAGGTGGGTTTATATAAGGACTTACATTCGAGAACACACATGATGCATTTGCTCTCAAACAGACTTTATAACTTGTATATAAAGAAGTAGTGGAAATTTGTATTTAAAATCCAGTTCCGCGCTTAACTTTAGCAGTCTTTTATATAGAAATAATGAAGGAACAATGATGTTAGCTTTGTGGACTGATTTTCAGATCAGTATCTCGAATATATTTTATTACTTTTTCTCTGCCTCATGTTTTCCGTTTCTTTCATCACTTGAGATGTTATCGGGACAGTAGTAGCGGTTCACCAGAAACTTTCACAATTACAACGCATCCAGAATTATATTGAAAAGCTCCTAGGGCATTGCAATTAAGCACAATTTAACGGGGGGGGGGAGAGAGAGAGAGAGAGAGAGATTTAGAAACAAATATACCCATTTGTTCTCTGCAGGGATCTATCCCCCTTATAAACCAAAAATACTTAACCCAAAAGTAGCAAAACGTTAAAGAAAATCACTAGACTGGATCACTGCAACATTCAAACAGTATTTTTAATCTATCTGCTTCGACATTGGCATGTTATACACACAGTCATTTTTCACGTGTAAAATGCCAGTATTGTACATACATTATTTCCTTCAAATACTGAAAATTTGAGCCCACCATTTTCAGTATCCTGCCTTTAAATATAAAAACGTTTTAAACACTTGAATAAAACTGCATATACAGTTTTACACCCAGATACATATCCATGCATATACTTATATTTATATCAACTATGCATTTAATTTGTATCGTGATCTGTACATATTTGGTTAAACTCTATATTCCTCGATTGGACAACATATGTATGTATTGGGATACATTGTTCCGTGAGTTTTCACACCACAACAATCCTCTCTTTGTCTCAATTGGCCTTTTCTCCTGCCTGTGTCAATGCAAATTTTAACTCGAAAGAGTTCTTGATTCATTATTGTAGAGCAGAAACAAGCTAAACAAACTGAGCATGGTGCCAACAAACGTAAATATTGCACTCTTCTTTATATTCCTTATCGTTTCTTTGCGTGCAAATATATTGCATTATTGCCATAGTGAAAACTAGAAAGCAGCACTTGAATACGCTGTTGTAATGTAACAGCTCTTATTTAACTCCGCTTTTACTCCCCGGAATAATAATACACAGGAAGAAGCATTTGTTTGTTGTTTTTTCCCAAAGTGCATACTCTCTATTGCTTAACCAAATATATCTTAATCCTCAGGGTATCATACTGAGCATTTGCAGCAATTGGATTTGAGTTTCTTCTCGGCTCCTTGCAAACTCCTGCATCTCTATCTCTCTTTCTTAATTTACGACCCACCAGCTCCCGTTGACACAGTTTTCCACACTGACTATTTTGTAGTATTGCATTCTAATATACACCGAAGCACTCTATCCAGTAGCCAAGATACCTAGGGTGAGTATTTGATATTTCACAGCTATTTAGTAATATTCTGCTCCATTTGAAGATAACAGCAATTTATTGGCGCAAGTCTCGCCCCCAAGTTACCAGTTTCCCTGTGAATTACAACCTGAGATTCATTTTCCTGTTATAATGTGTTCAAGATTACAAAACCAAAATAGCTAAATATCTACTAGATTTCCTCCGGGCCTGACTGTTAAACAAAACTTTAACTATTCCCTTTCGATAACTAAACCTGCTTTCCACAGATGCCTGTTGTTGTTTTTTATTGGTGAGGGAGGAGTGCAGAGAGATATTTATATATTTGTTAATAAAAGCTAGAAAATAAGCTCAGAACATGCTGTAAAAAATATTCGGTTACTTACCAATCAGGCTAGTTAAACAAGCATGCAACTGATTTCAGGCATATAACTGGTTCGGATGAATAGATGTCGTGGTATGTACATTAACTTAGCAAACTGGAAGAGAATCGTTTGATTTGTTTTTATTGTTCTTATTTAAAAGCAACTAATTCTTTGAAAACCATCTCCCTGACCATCTTGTTTGCTTATTTTAGAAGTCAGTTGCTATAAAGTCAGATCCAATAGTTTTGTACTTGAAACTCATGTCTACTGAGTATCCATAATAACTGCATTTCTCTCTGCATGAAAACGTATTGCTAGTGAGCTCTTTGTGTGCATTAACTAGCAATAAGCTAGAGTGTTTCTGGTGTGTGTATATCACCATTGGTTAATCGGCAAGTGCCTCCTGAAGCTGTTTTTTATGTTTTCCTCTGCTAGTTCCACACAAAGCACTTTGTAAAGCAATAACTGAACTGACCGAGCCGCTATTTTTTTCCATCAAAATTCTCGGCGACATACTGTACCTGGGTTGAAATGATCCAATATTTTGTTTTAATGAGTTTATTTAAAAAGAAGATTTTGCCGAACAGCATCTGCTAAACACTTGCATTAACCTCTGCCTCCATGATAAAAGTTTTTTCCTCCCTTGTTTTAATTATATTAGGGATATGACGGGGCAGCCAATCCTAAAAGAGGAGCTCGGCAATTAGCAACGCGAACATCAAAAAGTTTTATTGCGGAGCGCCGAGGGCCCCGCCCCTGCCGCGCGGGATTGGCGGAGGAAGCCTCTGACGACATATATTAACACGAGCTGCCCGAAAGATGTAGCTGTACATGGAGATCGTGCTGGGAAATTGTGCCAGTGCCCCGCGCAGCACCAAGCCTGGGGGAATCGCCGCCGCCACCTTCCTCCTCTGCAAAGCCACCAGCCGGGACAGGAGACGAGCTGCTTGCGGGCCAGCGGGCTGCCCGGTGCCCGAGCCCCCGAGCGGGGAGGAGAGGGGCAGGCCAGGGGAATGGATGCGCTCGGCTCCCAGTGAGCAGCCTCCGGCCAAGGGGGAGAGGAACGTTACCAGAGCCTTTCATGCCCAAAGCCAAAGCCGGAGCACGACAGCGCGGGGGCGCTGCTGGAGGCCAGGCGGGTGCCTGTCACACCCCCCCGCGGCGGTGAAGGCAGAGCCGGGGGCAGCGGCGCTGAGGAGGCAGCGCGCGGTTCGAGCCATTTTGTCGGCGCGCCGAAGCGCCAGGCCCCGCGCGGAGGAGACGCGCCGCATGAGCGGCCGGGGATCGGGGAGCGCGCTGGCTCTGAGCGGGACTCTGCAGCGCCCTATGGGGAGCCGGCGGCCGGAGAGGCGCTGAGAAGAGGCGGGGGAGCGACCGCGGCGAAGGGCGGGTTGAGGCAGCGGGCCGGGAGGGGGGAGGCTTGGTCCCGGGGCGGGGGTGGGGTGCGCGAGGGCTCGGGGATGAGTTTGGTGGGGGGCTTCCCCCACCACCCCGTGGTGCACCATGAAGGCTACCCCTTCGCCGCAGCCGCCGCCGCCGCCGCCAGCCGCTGCGGCCACGAGGAGAACCCCTACTTCCACGGCTGGCTCATCAGCAGCCACCCGGAGATGTCGCCCCCCGACTACAGCATGGCCCTGTCCTACAGCCCCGAGTACGCCAGCGGCGCGCCGGGCATCGACCACTCCCATTACGGCGGGGGGCCGCCGGGCAGCGGGCCGCCCGGGCTCGGGGGGCCGCGGCCCGTGAAGCGCCGGGGCACGGCTAACCGCAAGGAGAGGCGCAGGACTCAGAGCATCAACAGCGCCTTCGCCGAGCTGCGGGAGTGCATCCCCAACGTGCCTGCCGACACCAAGCTGTCCAAGATCAAAACCCTCCGCCTGGCCACCAGCTACATCGCCTACCTCATGGACCTGCTAGCCAAGGACGATCAGAACGGGGAGGCGGAGGCCTTCAAGGCAGAGATCAAGAAGACAGACGTGAAGGAGGAGAAGAGGAAGAAAGAGCTGGTCAGTACATCCACAGGGGGAGGCTGTTGTTGTTTGCGAGGGAGTACTCTGGGCTCGTCCTTTCTTCCGGATGTGTTGGGCACATCTGGCTTGGGGAGAGGCTGCTTGGTCAGCCAGGCTCCATTCCAGATCCCACAGAATGTATCCCAAATGAAATACATCATGCTATTACACTGCACACACATACACACCCAATATACAGCGCTGAGTGTAGGAAAGTTGATGTAGGTAACATATACTGTGTGCCTTAGTTAATGGATATGAATGAATGTTTATGGGATTTCCGTGTATGATATATGGTGTGTACAAGTACGCGTACCTATAATCTGTATTAATGGATGTACCCATAACCAAATATGTTATCACTGATAAAGGGAAGTGAAGACTTAATTCACTTCGGTGCAGGAGCCCCAAGTGACCAGGGGTGATTTTAAAATTTAAATGTATTTGGGGTGGGAAACTGGCATCTGCTGTGTGATAGAATTGATATAGCTTGCAGCAAAATCGGATGTAGGGTCAGATTATAATAGTTAAACCATTCCTTGCAGCTGCACACGATTGTCTTAATCATAAATTATAGTGTTGAATAGTTTATTTTACATTAGCATCCCTTCAATACCTCCTCTACTCCATTCCCCACACGGTGTTATTTGAATTACAATTTCTAATAATAATTCTGTCCTGTCCACAAGCAACCTTTCATAACCCAGAAGCACCCTGCAATCTGTTCAAATAAAAGAAACTCTGCTCATAGGGAAGGCATGTACCACTTGAATTTAACTCCAGCACAGTTTTAAATAATGCTTGACAAATAATGCACAGCCCCACCGTTTCACTGTAGATTATTCTTGATTGTGATTTATGCTTTTTTGTTTTGTTTTGTTTATTGTTTATAGTTTTTTTCTTTTGTTTTGTTTTCTTTTAATTTAAGGCGAAGTAATTTTTTATGTGGATGTTAACTCTTGGTGTAGGCCTAATGGTTTACTCAGGCAAAATTCCCACTGATTTCAATAGGGATTTGACCTCAATGAACACAACAGGATCGGGCCTTATATGAATGGATGTGCACTTCTCATAATATATTCACAATGCTGTTATTTAGTGGTATGCTGACATTAGCTAGAAAGTTCATCATTGACCTACTTGTAATTCGGGTCTTCTTATAAGTTAATGTTCCACTGAAACCTCAAGTGTGTGTGTGTATACCATATGATATATAAATGTAATTTATATTTGAAATAAAATATGCACTCATGAGATCTGATCGGGGAGGGCCGCTTAACCCTGAAGAAGCCCACAATGAAAAGCAGGCTGTGATTATTCTGACTGTTGCTGTAGGTGGCTTTTTAACCCGAAGAAGCTTTGTTTACGTTTGGAAATGAGCCGCGCTTGCCACAATCGCGATCGGTGCAAACTAACAGCACAGTCGCTATTTTGCAAAGAACGAAACATATAAACCGGTGTGTGGGTTTTTTTAAAAGTACCCGCAGCTTTCTACGAAAAGCCCGTAAACGGGCGTTTGTTTGTCAAGTTTTCTAGCCGAAAGTCATGTAGCTTGGAGGCCTCTGCAGGAGGCTGCATAGATCTTTGTAGATTTCTATCGCCAGCTTTAGATTTCTCTCTTCTGAGGGGGAAGAAGACAAGGAGTGGGTGGCGGAGGTTACGTAAAAGGTAAAGGAATATAATTTCTAAACTTCTGCTTTGTTTCTCTCTCTCTTTTTTTTTTTTTTTGTCACGCTGTCTTCCCAGAATGAAATATTGAAAAGCACAGTTAGCAGCAACGATAAGAAAACCAAAGGGAGGACTGGCTGGCCGCAACATGTCTGGGCTTTGGAGCTCAAGCAGTGAGTGCTGCAAGACTGAAGAACTCAAGGAAATCTCCTAGACTCATTAGAGAGATTTGATCTGAGGGGACTTTTTGTATTTGGAATCATCCAGTTTATTTATGTGCAATTTCTCCCCCACCCCCCAAAATGTGGATATTCGAAGAAAAGCATTCCATATTTTAATATGAAGAGGAAACTCCAACTTGGTAAGGGGTAATGTCGTCTCAATAGTTTCGTGAATGTTATTTCTCTGTTTGTATAGAACGCACGGGGAAAAATAGAAAAGAAAGGGGGGAAGACTCCCTGGCATTAGTGTGTATGTGAAGTGTATCTTTAATACATGGCCTTTTGGATATAAATATTCATGGGATTATAAAATTATATTTCAACAGAAACAGTTGCACCAATGTTTCAGTTGGCTTGGTATTTACTATGGTAATTTTGTTGTGGTCGTTCAGTATTTGAAAATGTTTTCAGCAGCTATTTGTTATGTGCACTTCCGTCCTTAAGGGGGGAAAAAGTGGAGTTTAATTAATATTGAAGGTGTAAACGTTGTAAGTATTCAATAAACCACTGTGTGTGTTTTTTACAAAAAAAATCTTTTTATGTTTTATACCTCAAATGTTTTTAAATAACAACGTTGTTATAGTTTTCATAATATTTAAGATATTCGGAAGTAAACTAAATTATAAAGATTGCCTCTAAGTTTATTTTAAGCAAGTCATCGAGTGAAAGGGGGGGGAGGATCTCACCAGCTGTGCGCGTGTTAAAGGGAAAAAATACAGTTACGCTAAATATAAATTCCTTGTGGTACTGTTTTCCAGGCATGAGATTTAATGCTAACGGGAAATGGACATAGGTACAAACCTTGATCAAATCAGAATTATTGATATGCATGTTTTCCTAAGAAAGACAACATTCCTACATTAATAAGAACTCTTGAAACACGAGTCACTTGAAATATAATTTTAGGAGTTTCGATATTAAAATTGTAATTTAAAAGTGTGCGTGAGGGAGAGAGAAGTGTTGTGAATTGATTAAATCTTTCTTGGCGCTTATTTCCTGCAACCAGAGCTAGTTATCTTTTTCCCGAGGTGACTGCACGGGAAGCCCGGAACGAGAAAGATGTTGTATAGGGTTATATAGAGAAGACTCTAACTTTGATTCCAGCCACCTCAATGGGTTAGGACTGAGAGTCCGCAAAGGAAGCTTAGAGCTTTGCTATAAGTGATTATGTAACAGGTAATTTTACCTCAAGTAAGAAATAGTGAACAAGGCAAGGGATTTGGGAGGGAAAAACAAGATTTACAATGAGATGCAGTGAACTTAATATTAACTTTGTGGTTCCCAACATTCTCTTGGGCCGCACGTTTCCAATCTGCCACAGTGAGCACATCTTTTTTTATCCTCTCCTGTCTCCAGGCTAGCAACTGCCTGCGATTTGCCCCTTTACTTTTAATACGTAAAATTGCTTCCCTCAATCCCATCTTCCATCCTTTGTATCTGAACAGTTAAAAACTATCATCTTTGTCCATCACCATTCCTCGAAATTGACTATTCACCTTGCCAGTCCAACCAAAGCAAATGTTGAGTGTATTGCAGCGTTCTGAGGACTGGACACTTCCTATTGTATTTACACCTAGAAATCCAGCTTTGTAAACTGCTAAACTTTTAAACAAGCGGTTTACCTAATGAAGCTTTCAGGGATTATGGAAAATGGTTTCTATCTGTACTATAAACCTCAGTTTAATATTTTGTGGCCTCCGGATTCTTGCACGAATGTAATCTAAATCAATCTGGCTCTCTTACAAGGTTCAGGGGGTATATACCTACTCTCCTTCCTTTATGGTAGTGCCTAATTAAGTGGCTTGTGGCCAGCTCTGACAATAAGAGTAGGTAGATTTGCAATTGCCCATAAAAAGATAAGAGAGCCCTTACACCGTTTGCCAGTCTCTCTGACAATAGGAAGGTTGAAGGGTTAGAACAACTAAGCAAAAGTGATGTGCCCTTTCTCCCTTCGGGTCAGGCAGCCTGGGTTTGTGTTTGGGCGTAGGGTTATGTTTACAGACACTTGCCTTTGTTTATAACACTTCGAGAGAAGAGTCTCCCTTTTGTTTTCTTTTCCTTCCCTGCTAGCTTCCCAGTTGATAGTGGAAGATCTCCCCCTGCTCCATTTGTGTTTGACGTTGCTAATGTTGCCAAGGTAGGTTAAAGGCTCCAATGGTGCAGCTATTACAATGGGAGACATATCGAGATGCTACTAATTACAACTCCAGATTAGAGAAGTATTAACCGGTAACTGTTTGTCTGCAAATACACGGTTGTTTTATCGATCAACTGAATCCTCATACCATTGGCTGTGTGTTTAATACACGCGTTTAATTTGTGATCTTTAAGCACAAGCCAATCATTTAGAAACACGGAGCAACGGAAGTCTTGCTGCATTAGGCACTAGTGAAAATACTCTTTAAAACTGTATTTTCGTTGTGGTCTGTCCTTTTCCTCAATCAGGAAAACAGCTTCCTTTTACTTCCAGCGCCATGCAGGGCTGTAATCTGTATCTGGCTACATGATAGCCCGACGATCCAGCGCGTCTCTGGCAGATTCAGGATGCCATTGTGAAGATAGTAGCCTTTTTGGCGTTTCCTATACACGAAAAATGAACTCTCCCTTTGCATTTCATTTCTCAAACTGGCTGTACCCTTGGACCCGCTAAAAGGGATCTATTTTAATTGCTTGGTAATGAGGATGTTGCCATTTTCTCAGGAGCAATCATTCCTGGAGCTAAATCACAAGAGCCCTAGACAGGCCGGAGCCGACAAAAATGTAGGTTTTGACGTTAAAAGCTAAATGGGGAAGCAGGGCGGTGGAAGGTAAATTGATGGTAGATTGGGATGTCAGTGTGCCTTGGCCCCACATCTCCTAAAGGAGCTGTGTGGCTGATAACATTCTGAATGGTGAACCAGAAGCTTTTCCACAGCCGTACGGCCAGCTCTCTGGGAAAGAGTTTTAAAAGAAACTGTATCTAGGTTCTTAAGGTCATTACTAAACATATTTACCTCCTCATATATTCCATGTCTGCCCTCCTTGATAACTACTCAGTGACACAGACTGTTCGCTGATACAAAGGCACTTATGAACAGATGGTACTGGGAAAAAATATCAGTGTACTCTTGCTAGTTAATAATTGCTAGGCCTTTCCATATTATTCTACCGGTAATCTGAGAGGAAAAGTTAAGAATGAGGAACAGAGGTGTAAAGCCAAACTGTATAATTATACAAACTAAAAGTTTTATGAACATTTTCAGTATTTATACAATATTTTAAGTACCTCACCGGTCATTTTATATAATACTGCTACGTTGCTTGTTTTGGGAAAAGATTTCACAATGTTATCTGTGTCCTCTGCCTCAAAAACAACCTTCGTTTTTTCTTTTGAGCAACAAAAACACCTTACTTTAAAATTACGTCCTATAAACCCTTAATCACCCAGTAGTCCTAATGAATTCAGTAGGACTACTGGAGAGAGAAGAATTACTCACGTGAGCAAGAGTTTGTAGAATCTGGAGGCGAGCAAAGGGAGACGACTTTAATGTAAAATAACATGGAAATATACCACTAATGATTCTTAAAAATAAATGTAAAAGGTCCTGTTTAAGCTAGAAACTTTAATGAGTAGTTTTGAGATATTTATGGGGAAGATTCTGCTCTCAGTTACCTTGGTGTTAATCCATAGTGTAAATTAGGTGGAATTACTCCAGATTTAGGAATCCGGATCCTGGTTTCGCTGAAGTCAATAGCAAAACTTTCATTGACTTCAGTAGGGTCGATCGGGTCCTTATCTGGGTGTAAGTGGGAGCAGAATTTGTCCTTACACTTTTCTTGTGACTCAGATAATAACAAATGGATGAGGGCATGACACATTTTATATTTTTATTAAAAATTATTATTTATTTTCCTAAAAGCTTACATATTACAGTGAAATTGTATTACAGTGAAATTGAAACAAGAGAATTTATGGCTGGTTCAAATGTAGGAATGGAAACTGTTTTCTGTTTTAACAGTATACGTATTAGTAGCATTAGTTTGGATTTATTGATAGATCCTCACTCTCACTCTCTCTGCAGGATAGCTTAGGTCTAGTATGTGATATAATTGTTCTTGAACGTTACCTTTAGGTAACATTTTTCATGTTTTTCAAAGCATTTGCACTATGTGGGGTGCAAAGCCTACGTTTTCTACTATTCAAATCACTTTGGAAAGTATGTAAACATGACATCACTGAGGTTATTCTGATGCAATATTATTGAGTCTGGATATTAAAAAGGAAGCTCGTTGATTTTTAAATAGCAGAAATTGTAGTGGGAGTCTTCAGGTTTTATGCACCCCGGGATGATGAAGATAGTTGATACCGTTCTTTCGGTGCCATGGCTGTCATTTTTGGTTGTTTTATGAGCACTCCACGCTGTTGGATTTCCATATAATCTATGTTTTCCTGGGGGGAGAAGGAGGAGGAGAGAATATGAATAACCGATTTTTCACCTATCAGTTTACAGTGCCCCATCTCCGAGTAGATAATTATGGTTAATTTATCATTTTCAAAGATGGCGTCAAAGATAGGTGTAATGGGGCCTTTCCATAAAGGTTGTGGATACCCGTGGCACGACAGCTGAAATTTCCAGATGTAAATGGGAAAAGCACCAAGATTGCTGTTTCAGAGAACGAACATGGAGCAAGAGCCCCACGATGACGCTGCACCATTTTAATGATATAAAATGTTATCTTTTGCGCCTGAAAACATATTTTAAATCCTTCTACCCTCAACCCTACCCAAAAAAAGCCCTTCATTAAGTGATAGAAAGGAAACGAATCCCACATTTCTGCGACTGTAATCCACTCTGTAATAACTAGCGCTTATCATTTTTTGCAGGCTATGAAATATGTTCCCCTTCAAAACCAGCTCCAATCTTTTCCATTTCTAATTGGCCGATTACTGCTCAGCTGTTTCAGCTTGCACAGTATAATAGAGATTAAAGCGTAGTTGTTATCTGAATTATATATTCACATAAATTCTACAAAGCATTTAGATTCGAAAGGCCTGTTGCTTTCTGGGAAGTCTTTGTGGCCCTTCCCCCTACTTCCCCCAAACGCAGTATGATGTTTCCCCCCATTTTCCTCCAGAAATTTTGTTGCTTTGATGATCAGATTGTAGAGCACTGATTACAAATTTATTCTTAGGCACTATATACGTCTTTATATCTGCTATTAGAGACATCTGGGAGTGATTACAGCCCGCCCTCCCCCATTTCTGCTCCCTCTATCTTGCAGCAAGAGCCTAGAGACATGTTGACGTCAGATCAGACGGCTAGGAGCCATCCTGCTCTCGAGTTGGGTGCAATCATTGCCATGCTTTCCAAACTCTATCTAAAGTCCAGTCCGCCCGCTGGAATGCGGATGCAATGGGACGGGATTTTAAAAAAACAAAAATCTTTACTTTTAGCTCGGAGGATTTTGCTTCTTGAGATTTCCAGGCAAGCTTGTTTGTTTACTTCTTGCCAACATCAGAAACAGGGAAATACACTAGTGCATTCCACGTTGCAAATGCCCTGCACGAGTGTTAGCGGTGGAGTTTTTCTCCGTTTGCATTCGATCAGAGCGCTGTCTTCCAAAGTAAATACTAGCTAGGCAGCTTTCCACCTTATGTATTGGCAGGAACAAATTAGTGAAGCAAAGTGCAACTTTTACGTTCCAGGAATCTGTGTCTCAGGCTCCCCCACGCACAAAACCGCTATCCAACATGTAGTCCGTTTTACAACCAGCCGGGCAAGCTGGAGCCTTTAGTAAAACAAAATGAGTTTCCTACCTCAATGAACGCTAGCGCTGCTGGCAAAGAGATGACTTTGCACCTGTTATTAAATTCTAGTGAATCATATTTACTTCAGGGCAGTGAGGGTCTAATAATAATTAACAGCTTGCATGTTTGTGCATGGTTCAGCAGGATGCAATGGGACGGGATTTAAAAAAAAATGAGCACACGTTATGGGGATATTTTTATATTATTCTGTTGCATCATCATCATTATCATTTTACACGTTAGGTGACATTTTCCGGGAGAATAAAGCAAAAAAAAATCAATAAAATACAACTTTGGCATTTGGGGTCCACTTCCAATCCTTTAAAAGGGATTGTAAGAATACAGCCACTTGTGAAACTGTACATTTCAAGCGGCACTATTGTCATATAGAGAGGGGGGGGGTTAAAAAAATGTTGATCTTGTCTCTAAAGGCGAGAGATAATGGTGGCGTATTTGTCTGAAGGACTAACGTCTCAGGGGAAAATAGTATCACCAAGCGAAAGAGCCCTATGTGCCCCTAAAAGGTTATGGGATCCCATTTCTAGCTTTGTTCCAGCAAAAAACACCACAAACCTCTACCATCTATAATCTCAAAAGGAAAATGAACGTTTCCTTGTTAAATCAGTGAAAATGGTATGCTGCGCGTTTGGCTCCCTACCACCTCCATAAAGAAAACATGTAGCACTGGGGCTTGTACAAAAAAAAAAGTAAAAAAGAAATCTGACCAAAACTCTGAGTAAATCCCATGTCAGAGCTGTGCGAGAGAGCTCTGTAATTGTCACTGATGGTGTGCAAGGCAAAAGTTGTCTGATGCCTTCCTGGGCCCTTCTCTTTGAGAAGCTGCATTATTTGGGTCAGAAACATCATCAGATACATCACCAGAATGTGTGCATTCAGACCATGGGCCGAATCCTGCTAGCCCTACAGCTGCATATGGTCTCTCGCTGACGTTAATGAGGGCTCCATGAATGGAATAAGGACGACAGGCATGGAGGAAGCGAAAAGGATTTGGCCCTATATGCTTGTCATGAAGAAAGAAAGAAAGAAAGAAAGAAAGAAAGAAAGAAAGAAAGAAAGAAAGAAAGAAAGAAAGAAAGATTCCAGAAGCGCTTACAGTCAATAGAGAACTGGCGTTTAGGTTTGTTACCCTTAAATAATACAATCAGGAGTACGTTTCTGAGACCAGCAATAGTATATTAGTGAAACAATGGAGCTCAGTAAGTCTGTATTTCGAACCTGTTTATTTGTTAATCACGAATGGCGTGTAAAGGAGAATTCTCTCTGGGTGTGTTGCAGCCCAAAGTATTTGAAAAATGGACAGCGATATTTTAATGTATAGCAGAAGACTCTCTTTCCGTCCACGTATATTGAATAAACATGTGGAGATTACAGAGCCGTTGAGTCTCCTATAGGGGCTCTATTTATATGCCATATGTTGCTATTGGCTAACAGAGCTGCGTATGATGAATACAAAACAGTATATACACGCAAACTAATAGAGGTTTAAAAATGGGTCTAAAAGACAAAGAAACAACTATAATAAAATACAGGAGGAGAAAGAGCTTTAAAAATAAAACATCATTCAAAAACAAGCCAGCATCAAGTTTGTTTAGTCTGTTGAAACAAACATATTCCAAATGGCCTGATCTTCTTACGGGGAACTCAATACCTGAGCAAAGATTGAATAGTGGGGCCAGAGAAAGAGAGCAACCCGAGTGGCCGTTTAGCCGAATTAAACCCGTAGTGGGTTCAGTCAGTGCAGAGTATGAGAAGGAGCTTTTCAAAAACAGAAATCGAGAATTGGAAGGTAGGGGCGGGGGTAGCTGTGCTTGTGTTGTTGTGCCGGGTGAATGTTAGGCTAGCAAAAGGCCTGGCCTGGACTGTCCTTCATACGTTTCTAAAATCTGGTTTTCATAGAGGCGCTCAGTAATTGCTTAAAGCCGTAACTGTCTCTGAAATTATTCATTAAAGTCATTCTGAGGAATCTCACAAAGCCAATTCTTACATTTATGGCCTTTGCATCATCAAGATATGACATCACCCTTCATCCCTTATTATTACTGTTATTATTTCTTTATTTTATTAAATTGCCACGGAAGGGTGTTTTTTTATAATTAGTCCAGGTATATTTCCCCCTTTTGGCGAAGGAGCGTGATGCAGGTCCACTCCACCAGACACCCTTTGATTGAGGAGGGTATTTTTGGGAGTTGCAGTGTTGTGCAGAAGATCATGTCTGTGCCCTGTGGTGCTGTCAGCTGTGACAGATCCCAGATGCAGCCGCTACTGTATGGCAGATTGAGTTTCTCAGCAGAAAACTCTCTCCCTCCCTCCTAAACGTCTTCAAAAACCTTCTCCAGATACTGCAGGTCACTTCGGCTGAATCGGGAAAAGTTGAACAAAAGTTTTCCTTTCGCTTCCTCTCTCTGGCTCTCTCTGCTAGGGAGCCTCCCTCTGGTCCCAGCCCTGGGTGCCAACTGTGGGCCTGCCAGGCTGTCCCCGGCCGCTTGTGACCACAACAAGCCCCGCTGCTCTGCTGATGGGAACAGAGGTTGGCAAGAAGGACAGAGAACCCGCAGGTAAGTGCAGAAGCTCTCCGGGCAGGGGCTGAGCTCCCTCTATCGCGGGAGATGATTGTATTCCTTCAACTGCCCTTCTTGCGCCTGTGATTCCCCGGGGATGCGCCAAACCTCACGGAGAAGGAGCCCCCTTCATTGCCAGTCATCCAGGCCTAAACCCGCCTCGAGTTTCTGCAGCGATTAGAGAGGCCGAGGAAGTCTGGCCTTGGGAATCTGCGGAGAGGGAGAGGGATTCCCCTGGGCTCCGGGTTCTGCGGTTAACCAGCGGTTCCTGGGGAAGCAGCAAAGGGGAGGTGGAAGGTGGTCCCGCCTAAGGGGAACAGGAATCCAGTTGATCCCAGCGTTGTCCTACGGGAGCCTGGGGAATCCGCTTCGGGGTGGATAGGGGACGGAACCCTGAGCACAGACCTCCACTCACCACGAGCAAATACCCCTAGACCGCGTGTGAGCCGGCCCAGCAACCAACCAACCTTTAGCAGCAGTTCCTGTCCCTGACTCCCACAAAGCAGGCTCAGAAGAACTCCCAGGAATTTACACCTCTTCAAGCAGAAGGCGCCCTGCTCCCTTCATTCAGACTGAATCCGGACACTCACACGCTGAGACTAATCCAGATTAGTACTTTGTGACGTTGTTGGCTGGCTCAGTGTTACTCTGTGTGTGTAAGTAACAGACCGGGTGTAATTTCCACAACATTTGCAGATCAAACACAGAATTATACATTTAATTTAATGTCATGTAGCTCTCAACAGCACAGTCCTGTCCCGCCAGGAGAAAATAATGACGCTCTTAGCGTTGCATTAGTTAGTTCTTAAAGCAAATACACATTTCAGTGCTTTACCTCGCAGTACGTTGAATTATACTTTTTGTTTTGTTTGCTTTGCTTTTAAGGATGCTATTTGAATTACCAGGTAGGAAGCGCAAATTTCCCTTCAGAATAGTGGGTAAACACTCCTCTTTCTCTTTGCGCAGTTGGTAGATTTCTGTTCATGTTTCTGTTTGTTTTGTGAATCTTGCTCACTAGATTTTGACGGAGAGATTTAACCAAAAAAAAAAAAAGGGAGCTAGCAACACGTGAGCTAAATACTCGAGTTAAAAATATCCCCAGCTCAGCTTCTTGGCAGGCAGTGAATGAGGCGGAGGCTGGTCGCTGTAATGTTGCTTCGGCAAATAACGAGTGTGGGTTTGCAAGGCTTCGCCGGGGATTTCATACCATGCTGTCCTGCAGCAAAGCGGGGCTCAGTGACTCCGCTTTTGAACCGTGCCTGATATTAGACCGGTTTGTAATTGAACAGGTGAATCTTCAAGAAAACAAACTTTTTGTTGCTCTTTCTTGATTTTTAGATCTTTTAAATAAACAGGAGTGATCTTGGGCAAGGCATATTATTCAGTGGTTCTATGCAGGCTGCAATATTTCAGTACATTTGTCTAACCTCCGCTCTGTCACTTTTTAAAATATAAATAAGTAAAACAAAGCAATCATAATCCCGTCACAGAAAAACCAGATACCAAGCCTTTGATGTTTTCTAAGAACCCCTCTCCAACCTCTCACAAAAAATGTTTCATGTTTAAGGGGTTGCTTTATTGTTATCATTATTTCGGGGGGGGTCGCATGAACAAATATACACAGACACAAAGGTGCGGTCTTATATTTAATCTACTCGATACAAACCTAGTTTTGTGTCTGCAAAATCGGCGACACTTAAGCCAGGTTGCTCGTCTTTCTCCACATTATGCTACTTTTTATTTCATGATCCTCAATAGCTAACATACAGGTTGTGAAAAACTTTTCTTAAAGAGCACCTGAGCCCAGTTCTCCATAGTAGGGGCTTTTCCGCTGAAAAGTGCTTGGATGGAAGGAGTATATTTTTACTCATGCATCTACCCCTGGTAAAAGGTTCCCACTAAATTCAAGTTTCAGTCTTTCTTTTCCCTGGTGAATTGAAAGGCTTGATGTCAACCCCCCGCCAAACCCGCTTCCCATTTTTTTTTAAGTTCTTGCCTTTAGCAGAAGTATAATTGTGACCCTGCCTGATCCATAGAGCCTCCTGTTGGGAGCAGTTAGCTGTGGTTGCATTAGGACTGAGGACCTCCCAAGTGGCTTTGGCCTGGGTGTCATAGGAAAGGACTCTGCACATTGTCCATTCGCTCTCTTCAAAGTCCCAGGCACTATGGAGCCAGCAGTTCTGTTTGTCGACGTTTTGTGGCTTGGAAAAATAGTAAACAATTTTTTTCCCAAGCCATCCATCCAGCAGCACAGCGACCTTCCTAGGATCCAGAAACTTAACAAACTTTTTCATAACTTTAGGTATATGAAATGATTTACATTTCCGGCTGGTCTGTCAATGTGACAGTAATTTACAGTGTGATAAAAACACGTTTACAACAACAGATCATGTTCAAGTAGTACCTTACCAAGCAAAAGATTTTAAGAGTACACAGACAATGAATCTTTGTCATGCACTTTTGCAGTACACCTTTCTCAATAAATGAACATATTTAAATTGGAAAATAGGTAAAGTAGACAAGGACAGAAGCTAAAGTGTATGAAATCAATACAGAACTTTTGTTTATACCATGTATATTATATATATGCACATATAGTATATTTCTCTAAGGCTTTAACCGAATGTATACTTTTAGTCTAATATAACAGGACCAAATCTCGCTCGCTTTGCTGAAAGGACTGATTTAGATAGGACTAAACTGAAAAGTAAAGCAGGCATAATTTGGTCCTGGATCGTTTTTATTTAAACATTTTTGTTCATTTTTGCTTTGGAGTCTAAAATCGAGTCGTTAGGTTAGCGTTTAGGGAAAGGAAGTTCATGTTATTCCGATCTAATCTAATTAAGCGGATATGGACTGTTTTGCAAAATAGCCAGGGTAACACAGTTAACAACTCCTTAGGAAATTCTATTCTGTTTTCACCACCGCGGGTGCATTACTTTTTATTGGCATGGTTTTTATTTAAAAGCACAAGATGAATTTGGAAACTAATGTACAACATCCCCGTTCCACATAGACAGTATAAAGGTTTTGTAAATTACAACTATGTGAAATTGGCATGCAATTCAAGAACAAAATGAACAAACGGTTTTGTTTTTTTGTTGTTTTTTTTTGTTTAGAAGGAACAAACCACATGCAGCAGTTACCGCTTTTAAGTTATTTGTAACCATTTTTACCTAAATAATATTTTCTCCAACAATGATGTGAAATATAAACCCTGACGTTTTCTACAGATAAATAGTATAATTTAGTGATCAAAATTTATCTTTTGAACTCTCATATAAAGGTATGCAGTTCTCTCATGTAGATATACACAGACCTCTCTCTCTCTCTCTCTCTCT